CGAATTATGTATTTAGTACTGCACGGGGACGAGGATGCCAGGACGTCAATCACTGCATTAACACTCATAAATTAAAAAAATAGACTTTAAAATTGAAAAACTTACCAAAGATGCAAAGATTTGTACTCTTTAATATGCCGCATCAATTTGAATTGGTCATCAAATTTTGGCACCAGCTGAAGGAAACTCTGAACAAGATCCAGCAAAATATCGTATGACATTCCTTCATCTGAATAAGAAAAACCAAGAAGTAGATAGTTAGATTCCATCAGTTTAACATTAAATATAATTGCTTAATATTTAACAAAAGTTTTTATCGACAACATACTACATAATTTACAAAATGAAATTATTGCAGTTGAAATAACATTATGGAGAATGTAGTTTGCAACAGTCCAAATCAGCCACTGCTCGAATCTATTGCTCATAAAAATATTTTTATCTTAATAGCGTGTTGCAATTAAAAATTTCTGGTGGTGGCTGACCCGGCGATTGTAAATATCATTATACTAACCTTCAAATTTTTGCCACTGCTTCAGCAGCTTTTGGCACTTTTTCTCAACCGTACTCCTGCACTCCTCAAAACACAAACACAAATACATAAGAAAAAACAAATGACCATTAAACTATTCGTTCATGTAAAGACTCGTTTGAACAAAGTTGGAGCACATTCACCACACACAACGTGCAACTGCATGTTGTGGTGAGCATGCGCGCAATTTTTCCAAGTAATATTTACATTTGTTCCGTTTGTTATATGTTAAAATCTTTATGCTAGTTAAAAAAGAATAAACTCTTGTTGAATAATCGTTTCCATTGGTTATCATGTAAAGAGATACATTATTGACTAAACAAAAATTTAAATAGATTTATTAACTATTAAATTATTACTTATTTATTACGATCTATAGTTTACATACTAAATAACAATACCGTAAAGAATATTTTGTTCAATAATAATAAATCAATAACTTAATGGAAAACCCGACATGTTATTTTCCAATGTTGGATATTGCTTGAGAACATACATGGATTAGTATTAAACTTTTCTTAGTCAAACTAATGTATTATTTAGCTGTTACTATTCATTTTTCTCAGTGTAGATCCGGTCACTAAAAGATTTTTCAATTAAATTCAAAAAATCTTATGAAAGCTATAAATACATTTGCAATACCAGTATTAGTTTATTCATTTGGAGTGATTAAATGGACAAAAACAGATATTAATAACATTAATATTAAAATCAGAACACTGTTTACTCAGTTTAGAAAACACCATCCAAGATCGTCCATTGAAAGATTTTCTTTATCAAGAGAAAATTGAGGGCGCGGTTTTTTGAATTTACTTAATTTATATTGTAGACAAATTTCCTCACTTAGGAAATATTTCTTAGATCAGAGTAATAATAATATTTTGATCAGGGCTATTTGTTTAAGTGATGAGAATTTTACACCATTAAATTTAAGTGATTCAAACATTAATGAAACAATTATAACCGAAAGTTTAACTATAGAAAATTTAAAAGAAATCTTTACATGGTAGATTTTTCAAAGAATTAGACAACAGCTACATTGATACAGAGGCTTCTCACTTGTGGTTAACAAAAACAAACATTTTTGCAGAAACTGAAGGTTTCATTTTTGCAATCCAAGACGAAGTAATCAATACGAAAAATTATACAAAATACATAATCAAAAGTAATAATGATGATCTTTGTAGACTGTGTGGAACACAATCAGAAACAATTCAACATCTCATCTCTTCCTGCCAAGTGTTGACTGCATCAGATTATAAAATTAGGCATGACAATGTGGCCAAGATAATTCATTCTCAGTTAGCTTTTATTCTGGCCTAATTCAAAATAAATCACCTTATTATTATATTATAAATATGAACCAGATTCGTTTCTAGAAAATAATAATTACAAACTCTATTGGGACAGAACAGTTTTAACTAGTTTGAATATAACAGCTAATAGGCCAGATATTATTCTTATTTCTAAAACTGAAAAACATGCATTTTTAATTGATATTGCAGTTCCAAACACTCACAATATTCAGAAGACTTACCAAACAAAAATTTCTAAATACATGATCCTTGCTAATGAAATTAAAAACATGTGGAACATGAAAAAGGTCAAAATAGTACCGATAATCATTTCCGCAATTCGAGTTGTAATCTTGAACTTTTAAAATTAAAATCAAATTTAATTATTGAGATTCAAAAAGCAGTCCTTTTAAAAACTTGTAATATTGTTAGGAAATGTCTCAATATCAACGAAATTCATAATAACATAAATAATAATTTAATTAATAGTAATTCATTAAGTTGCGAGGCGGAAGATCTGTAGTGACGCTAGATTGGGAAATTTAGGGGGTTTTTCTTACATTAATCTCATTTCAAACAATTCATCAACATCATTACTTGATAGCAATATCCGTAATGGTGAATCTTGCCTGACTGCAGGTCTAAACCGCCGGGTCAGTGGAGGTTGTAGAAATTATTTGTCAGAGAATTATGTCTTGCATAACTGTCTGCCAAATGGTTTCTACTTCTTTTGCCGGGTCAAATAATAATAATAAAGCGGCTTTATTATTTTATTATTATTATTACTATTTTATTATTATTATTCCCCGGTTAATTTTACATATAATACTAGTTTTTCATAAGAATCAAAAAATGTTGATTTTTGGTCAAAATCGGATATAGTGCTTTTACTTTTAGCCTTATTCTTAACTTTATTACTCAATATCTCAAAAACTATGCATCGTAGAGTATTTTAACTTGTTGCATCGTTTTTGCGCGTAATTTTACGTCTAGAAAACCATATTTTAAGCGTTTTTGCGAGTTAAAGTAAATTGACTTCAAGAACTCAAAAAATTCTAATTTTTTAAACTTGAACCAATAACGTTTTGTGCACTTTTTTGAGTCTTTAATACCTCTAGAAATGTAAAAAAAATACATGGAACAAAATATTTTTGATTTTTGTCGAGATTTTGATCAATTTTTGGCACCCGAAGCGGTCTATTGCCAATAACTCCGGACTTATTGGTGGTAACCTCTTATGTTTGGTACCATTGGAAAGAAAATTTAATTTTCTATCATATACAAAAAGATCAGTGTTTTAATTATTAATTTTAATTTTTTGGTATCTTTTTTCCTATAGGTACTTGTTGTCGGAGAAGCTTATAAATTAATAACAAAAACAAACCACAAGGTAATTGTTATTGACTTTTTTAATGCATTATTTATGATGAATATTTTGCTATGAGCGGAAAGTCGACTTTTTGATTTGGCAACTTTCTACTTTGAAGTTTTCCGTTAGGCATTGTTAAATTATGACGAAGTGCGGAGGTAACCGTTTTAATTGGTCATCATGTGCGACCTTTGGAGCTTAACCCAGAAATCCTCCATAAAATCTCTCTTCCACCTAATCCATGAAGATAGACGAGCAATCGATCAAGTTGCTCTAAATACGGCCGTGTGACCATCAATAAATAGTCATTCTCAGTAAGAAAACGAATGGTTGAGTGGTTCGAAGTTCTAGTTTCACTGCACGTAGATCCAGTGATGCCAGATTAGGGATTTTTTCGCTAGTTCTAGGGATTTTTCTAACAAAAAGGGAAAAAGGGATTTTTTTCAGTTTTTCTTAATAATCTAGGGATTTTTTTATATTTTCAGTGAAAATCTCAATTTTTTTCACACTGCTGGCACAGTTTCAAAAATTACAAAATTTTTTAATATGAAACATTTTTAATAAATTTTTAATATTTAACATCGCCAAGTTAGCGCATTTGTATATGAGTTTAGTACATAATAACGCGGAAACCAAAAATGTATTTTCTGTAGTTGTGTAAAGACAAAAAAAAGAACAAGATAACTAAAAGTCGTTTGCGTTTTTCGCGTTGCCAAGTTTACTAATTTTTGCAGTTCATTTAATGTTTTAGGCGAATATATAAAATTAATAAAATCCCATAATTTATAAGTATAAATAAAAATTAAGTAGGTATCTAAATATACACGTTTATTTGAATTTGTTTTAATTGACTTGTATTTTATTTTTTTATTTCTTTAGTAAAATTTATTTTAATTTATTGTTATATTATTTATTGATTTTTTGTTGTTTGGAGTTAACACATTTTTATGTTGTATTTATATTATATTACCTCAACAAAATAAGCCTATGAAATCGTATCTTTTTAATTTCTTAAGTAGTTTAGGGAATTCTAAGGAATTTAGAAGCTACAATCTAAGGACAAGCGCTTAATCTCATCTGGCATCACTGCGTATATCCACAGTTTATCAGGAACAGGTGTCTAAAAGTATGAAGGCAGTGCCCACGCCAGTGTACTTGCCCATTATCACACCAATCAAGCGCAAAGAAGACGAAAACGGGCCCATATTAAGCCAACAATACCTACCACAATGAGGTAGTGGCGGATCAAATCATCCTGTGTGAAATAGTGAATCGTTGGTAGTATTTGCTCGACAACCATAAAATCTGACATGGTCATCTACTTACTTAGCATCTTGAGATTAGCGATGGTAGGAGTGATTTATTTTGAGATCGCTTGTGATTTCCTCAATCTTTGGCACAGTTTTGGCGTTTCTGTGTCAGTGAGCTTTTAATTGAGCTTGTATTGTTCTTTGAGGAGCGTTTTTTTTATTGGGCTAGACGAGCAGATAGAAAAACTCCGACGATTAAATCTCTCAACCCGGCGCATTAAATTGTTCACGCGATCTCTAGAGAATTTACTGAAGTGGCGTTAAATTATATGATTGTTTCTTAAAAAAAACGAATCAATTACCAACAGGAAACCCTAGAGGATGAATTTTTATTATAGAAACAAAACATTTAATTATGTTTTGTGCTTTGCAATGAAATTAGTTTTTGTATGAGCGTTTACGAGGAATTAATTACTGTCTTAATTGATTTTCTTGTAGCTTGGTTTAATTTGACTCTTGAGGTTTAATACTTACGTTTTTGTTCTCTTTTGCAGATAAAACGATCAGTGCACGTCTATGACTTCTTCATTTAAGGGTGAGTTTTTTTCTATTTCTAGCCATTAACTGAAATAAACTCATTATAGAAAGTAGCCGTCAATGTTTTTTCCCTTAACTAATAGATTTTATGATATGTCAACCACTACTCTAGATTTTATCTTAAAAAGGAAAAGTTTTAAGAGCAATTAAATTTTAGCTATTATTTATGATTATAGCAGATAAACGGGAGAATTAACCACGAACAATAGGTCCGAATAACAAATTAGTCGCTTTTACAGAGGCAATTTAAGACGGTGATGACTGTAATTTTTCCATCAGTTTGTGGAGCACTTTGGTGCTGTTTTTGCTTTAAGAATAATTGCAACAGGCATGGTTCGTAAACCATGAAATTAAACGTGAATAACACATACCTAGGTAAAACACAATCATTTGTCTGCAATACCAGAGTCAAGAGCTCCTATTCCATTTGCTGCGTTTTCGCTTTCTTTTAGTCGTAATGACGACGGTTTTGTTTGTCACAACAAATGGGGGAAATTTGAGTTTACTTTTCTTTGACACATTGTCACAGAGAAGATAATCATTTTTGTTTTAATTTTTAATCAAAAACTCATAATAGAACAGCAAACAACAATATGGATTTTGTCATGAACCAAATAAGGGCATTGAAAGATTCTGACAAAATTTTCGATTTTTTTTCTACAATCTTTTTATAAAAGTATTTTCAGTGTTTTCACAAAATTTACTGCTTTGACTAATGACTCAAAAATGCTTTAGATCTATCAAATCTACAAGCACTTATAAAAACCATATTAAAAATCATCAAATTCTAAAAATATATTATATCAATAAATTCATAGGTGTGCAATGGCTATCAAAATGCTATTCAAAAAAAATTGAATATTAATTATTTGTTTATACTTACGAGATAAACATAGCAACATTTTTTTTAATGGAAACCTATCACATTTTTTTTAGATAACAAGCTTGTTACAAGAATTGTTGCTGTGTATTTTTTTTGTAAACCTCACACTTTTTTTGTTAAAAAAATGTTTAACTTACAAAAATTAAATAATTTTCTTGTGTAAACTACCAGTTTTTTTTGGAAATAAATTAATAAATGTTTAAAGGTTGTAAAGAAGCGATGCCAAAATATTTTTTATTTTAATTAATTGTTTAAACTTTTGAGATTACCATACTAATATTTTTTTTTCTTAAATAAAAAAGTTTTTTATAAATGTACAAAGATATTTGTTAAAAATGTTACAATTAATGTTAAAAAAATTATAAACTTTATCTGTTGTCAAAACTTTCTTCCACCGGCCAAGGGCTGGTCGGATAAGACCAGACAAAGCTGTAAGAATTATTGCATCAGAGATTAATGCAGGTAGAAATAGAAATATATTTTTTTGGGTTTTGCCAGAAACTAAACTTGAAAATGCAAAACATCTATTTTTTGACCTTTGAAAGTACTAAAAACGTACCTGAGAATAACTTGTCTTAAAAAAAATTAAACAATATCCCTAATTGTTTATTGCCAATAAAAAACAGCCGAAGTATTAGTCGTAGAAAAATAAAAGCGGTATTTTTGAAAAATTTTAAAAATAATTTTTTTTTGTAAAAAAACTTATAATTACCTCGAAATTTCTCTTTTTTTTAATGTATTTTAAAACGTTATGATTTCAAAAATTGAATTTATTTCGAAAATTCTGAAATAATACGAAATGGTTTGTCGAAGATAAAACAATTCACAAATTTTTGCAATGTTTCGGATTATCCTTGACAAAAAACGTGCACAGACACTCGAAAAAGACAAAGAAAATGTTAGTCTTTAGTTTGCAAAAGTCGTTGAACGCATGAAAACGACTAAAATAACATCATTTTTATCTAGTTTGGGATATTTTCAGATTATTTTGGACAAAATTTTCCAAAAAAACAAAGTGTACGCCCAAACACGTGGTTAATTGCTTGAATAGGACAGACATAGCAAATTTGGTTTTATTTTTGAACATTTTAAGAAAAATCCAAATTATTTACAATCACACAGGCTCCCTTTTTGTGACCATCTAGGCTATGGTAATAAACAATCAATGTACCTACGTGCTTAATTAGATCGTGTGTGTCGAATGCGCGTACGCAACTCCAATGATGTCTTACTCAAAGTGCGTGACACACGTGAGTTGCGTGTCCACACGATGAGCGTGTGTGTGCCACAGTTGTATTTGTAGAAAGAAAATGAGACAGGCAGTCCCGTTCCAATATAGCTCCGAGATTGCTTTATAACGCACCATTTATTTTTTGATTGATAAATTCGTTTGTTGAACAAGAATTGTCGGCCCGAAAATTATCCTACAAGTTGAGATTTTAATTCCGGGTATGGGCAAGATGTCGCCGCCGCTTCGTTCAATTACATTGTGAGTCATTCGTCAATATTACACAGTGACGGTAGCAGATGCGTCCGAACGCGGAAAATATGCTAATATCACCAGAAGTTGTTCTTCCTCACTTATTTGCTCGTTTGGTCATGAAAGTAACACCTGAAACGTCTATTCGCATTCCCCAACTGTTCCGACGTCGCACTCCCAAGTGGAACTCCTCTCTAAACTTCTTCACAAAGATACACAACATCAAAGATGGACTTAAGCGTTGGGAATTACATTTGTATCGTCTTGCCTCTGTACGAGTTCCATCTATGTAAATGCTTCTTTTCAGTCTTTTTGCGTCGCTTCACTGAAAAAATGTATTTTCAATGCGAAATTATGCAAATATTTGTTCACGTATTTTAACCAAAGACACTAAGTCCATTTTTTTTCACATGGCGAACATTAGACTCAATTTTCTCCTCGCATTCGTAAAAAAGATAAAAAAACCTTGATTTTATGTTTTTAAATACTCAGGAGACACCAATCTAATACTTTGATGTTCTAACGACCACCGATAAGACGAAAGCAGTTTTGGGCATGTACTAATATGTTTATGGTATACAGAATATAATCATTAGTGTATTTTATTTCAGTAAATTATTTAATGCTTTGTTGAAAGAGGCAAACAGGTTTCTAAAGCAGTAACTAGTAGACAGTAGTCTTCATTTAAGGACAATGTATAAAACGGCAGAAGACCACTAAATTAAACTCGTAACAACAGCTGTAGGAATAAAAAGTTGCAATTTTAAATTCGGAATTCATCTGCAACAATCCCGCGATTGCAAATTACCATTGTTACAGTATAATGTAACAGGATAGCTCCGTTCCAGGAAAATAAAAACCCGCATAATACTACAGAATTATATTTCGCCCGGAATTATTAAAGCTCTTCAAAACATTTTTAAAGCTAATTTGAAATGCCAATGTTGCTAAATGGCTTCTCCTACACTCTAAATGGACTTTCTTTAATTATTATTTGTCTGATTTATTCAAGCTATTGCTTTTCCTAATTTTAATACTCAATTTCCTTGGAAAAGAACGAGCCTCGCTTCGATTAAAGCTTGTCTCTAATTTGCTCCAATTATCTTCAATATTGGCACCGGCTTTTTTCCGAACCTTATTAATTCGGCTGTTCCGAGTATCGAAAATCGCTTCTTCCATAACGGGGGCTTTCGTAAATGGCCCACCGAGGAAACAGGCTTCAAATTGCGTGAAATGTATCAAAGTGTTAAAAGCCTAATATAATTTTTTCCACACTATTTACTCAGCTTAATAAAACTGACAAGCTTCTAACACCATTTTATACCTGTGCCATAAGCAACCGTTTGTTTTTTCCTGAACTGTCTACCATAAATTTCGTATCTTGGCTACCATGACATTAGTTTTTATGTTATAGGGTCTACCAAACTAGTTCTAAAGGCTTTATTGCAGGTTGCTTCTCGGTACGGATCTTGCCTTCATTGTGTCTTTCTTACTCGGGTAGCTGTATTTGGACCCTTCTTACATCAATCTTCTTCTGACAGTCAACTTAAATTATAGGCCATTCTAATTTTTCAATTCATAATCAACTCTTTGATAATTTTCACAAAAATCATTTTTGAAACACTAAAACACGAACAAAGCTATACAGTTTTATCACTACATTTTTTGACTGAGAACAAAAAATCTATTTAAAGTCTGTTTTTTTTAATGGAAATGCCAAGCAGTCTTAAGGTTGGCACTACTAGTAAATTTATTCATGGTAAATTTAATAAAAATAAATAAAACGTCAACACAAAAAGTCGTCTAAGAAAATTTAGAGACGAAACACCAAAACCGTTTTTTGAGGAACGAGTTGAAAAAGTAACAATTATGAAACTAAAGCTGAAGAATTTATAAAATGCATCAACTTTGAGCTTATTTCTTTAAATATGGGTGAAGTTTTACTTGAAAAAGGCAAAAATAATTTCGTTTTCAACCCCTAATTTGGCTGTTTTAGCAAAATTTTGTGGAAAAAATCAGTTTTGGTTCGAAAATGTTTTTATTCGCTTGAAAATAGATGGAAATAATTTAATTTTTTGCCTAATTAATTTTTGGGCTAGTTTTCATCAAAAACAATTAAGATTTTTACTCAAACAAGAAACATCATTTTCTATCTAATTAGGAGATTTCTCGACTTGCTTGAGCAAAATTGTCGCAAAGAAAAAGTACATATTTAATTGAAAAAGTCAAAAATAATGTTAATTTCGACCAAATTTGGTCGTTTTGCCAAAATTTTGGAAAATATTTCGTAATTTGAATCTAATTTAGTGATTTTGTGGCCTATTTTAACGAAATTTTGCGAAAAAAAAAGTTTTTAGCTGTGCAAAATGTCAAAAATTGCATAATTTATGTGATTTTTGGACCTTTTTTTGAGTAAAATTTTATACTAAGAAGGTTCAAAATAATTTAAACGGCAAAAATATCAATTTCGATCTAATTTGGTTTGTTTTACCGAAAAAACTTATTAGCTCAAAAATGTGTTTCTGTTTAAAAAAAAAAAAACAAAAATAGCACAATTTTTATCGATTTTTCGACTGGTTTGGACAAAATTTTGCAAAAAAAATTCATTTCTGACTAAAGAATTTTCTTAAACGCT